TCTAGTTTTGCAAGCCTTGGTGTTCAACTATATGAGCAAAGACTTATCGGTATGCATCACTTACATTGCAGTTGACATCACAAAACCTAGTGTTTAATTAAATGCTGTTTTTGGGTGCTACAGCTGTGTTTTGGTGCTACAGCTGTGTTTTGGTGCTACAGCTGTGTTTTGGTGCTACAGCTGTGTTTGGTGATGCAGCTGTCTTCAGATGATGCAGCGCTCTTTGATGATGCAGCTATCTTTGGGGTGCTGTAGCTGTTTTTGGTGATACGACTGACTTTGGGTGATGCTATGCATTTTTAGCTCCGCTGTCGACTTTGACGAGCGGAGCTTATCATATGAGTGATTGTCCGTCCGTCGTCGTCCGTGTCAATGTTTTACTTTTTCGACTTCTTCTTGAAAATTACAAGCCTGAATGCTTTGATACTTGGTGTATATGTACCTTGGGTAGACCTCTCTCAGATTTGTTCATTTCATGATCATATCTTCAATTCTCTAATTTTGGTGAATATTTTTGTCATTTTTGGTAATATTTTCGACTTCTAGTTAAAAACCACAAGTCAAATTGCTTTGATATTACATATATAGGTACTACATGTGGACCTCTCTCAGATTTGTTCATTTTGTAATGATATCTTTAATTCTCTAATTTTGGTGAATATTTTTGGTAAAATGTGATATTTTCAACTTCTTTTTAAAAACCGCAAGTCCAATTGCTTTGATATTACATATATAGGTACTACATGTGGACCTCTCTCAGATTTGTTCATTTTGTAATGATATCTTTAATTCTCTGATTTTGGTGAATATTTTTGTCATTTTTGGTAAAAAGTGATATTTTCAACTTCTTGTTAAAAACCACAATCATTTATGGTGAAAAATAATATTTTTGAATTCTTGTTGAAAACAGCAAGTCCCATTGCATTGATACTACCCTGGTATGCATATTGTTCATTTTCTAATGATATCTTCTGTTCTTTAATTGAAATGTGCATTGCTAACAGCGGAGCTATCTCAGCCGAGAGGCTGCTTGTTTTTCTTTTGGTATATGGAAAGTCGTACACATGTAACTGCAGCCTATATTTGCATTAATATACATACACTGTTCTTTCCAAAAACACCACAGTCTTTGTGCTGCATCATGTTTCAGTATTTCAAACATGTGATTCTCAGGAATATATTGTATGCAAAATGAATTTGACAAATTTTTTTTTAGCTCTGCTGTTGACTTTGTCGAGCGGAGCTTATCATATGAGTGATTGTCCGTCGTCTGTGTCAATGTTTTACTTTTTCAACTTCTTCTTGAAAACTACAAGCCTGAATGCTTTGATACTTGGTGTATATGTACCTTGGGGAGACTCTTAGGTTTGTTCATTTCATGTTGATATCTTCAATTCTCTAATTTTGGTAAATATTTTTGTAATTTTTGGTAAAAAGTGATATTTTCGACCTCTTGTTAAAAACCAAAAATTCAATTGCTTTGATATTACATATATAGATACTACATGTAGACCTTTCGCAGATTTGTTCATTTCGTGATGATATCCACAATTCTCTAATTTTGGTGAATATTTTTGTCATTTTTGGTAAAAAGTGATATTTTCGACTTCTTGTTAAAAACTGTAAGTCCCATTGCATTGATACTATGTATATTGTTCATTTTCTAATGATGTCTTCAGTTCTTTAATTGAAATGTGCATTGCTAACAGCGGAGCTATCTCAGCCGATAGGCTGCTTGTTTTTTCTCATTTTTTCTTGTGTTTATTATTTATTGTTAACAAATTTGTTAGGCAATCACAACCAATCACAAAAATTTCATGTTTATGAAATATTATACATATGCACATCAATTTGTTTAACGATCTGCCATTTTTGTGCTAAAAAATCATCAAAATCAAGCATTTATGGATGGATTTTGTTCAAACTTGGTACATACATTGAACATTATGGAACCTTGATGCATGTCATTTTATTTTTCAGAACAGATTTAAAATGGCCGACTGGTGGCCATTTTGTTTTAATGAATGCAGTTCTAGCGCCATATCTCTGCCATGCTTTGACTGATTATGTTCAAATTTTGCACATTTTTATGTATCTTTCTATAACTTTTTTGTTTATTTTGGATTAAATGGGCATATTTCTCCATTCTCTGTAGGTTGTAGTGACGCTGGCAAAATCTGATAAGTATGACAATATACAATACACAGCTACATCTGGTAACGAATTGGAGCCTCAGTACACATCAGAAGATAAGGTACAAACCATCAATTTGTCATTATTCTAACAAAACTTAGATTTTATTTTTCACCATGTAAAGTAGAAGTTGATTATTCTTCATTATAAAAGCTTGGAATAGTAACAGGTTCTCAAATTTTGATTTTTCTACGATTTGACTTGACTGTGATTATAACAAGTATTAAAAATTAAGCATGCATTATCAAACTGCCACAGGTGGCCTTGGGACATCAGTAATTGACCCATATTTGTATCTCATCTTATCGTGTAGTAAATTTGATAATTCTAATCTGTTCATGAAATCCTTGTCTCTGTTGCGTATTTGGATTTGGTTGGTGACCCTGCTCCCAAACAAACATCGACCCAATAACAAATCTAGCAGTAATACATTTCCCATGTACATTACTTGCAATCTGATTCTTGTATGTTTCACAGACCTATACAAAAATGGTGAATTCCGGACAAGGAGTGTCCTTTTCATTCCCAATAACCCCACGTGATATTGGCTTCATTGAGGTGACGATCTCTGCACAGTCATCTGATGCTGCCGACGCAGTCACTAGGCTTCTGTTAGTTAAGGTAAGATTTAAACTGTTGGTTATCCTTGCAAGTAACTGGTCTGTATTATGTGATGAACCATTATAGACCCTCAGGATTTTGTATGGACATGGTCATTAATATCTTATCACAATTGTTTTTTTCAATTTTTTTTTTGTTACATATCACTTTCGAACATTGAATATAACTGTTGTCTGTATCGACTTTTTTTATGTGGTAATTGTGACTGCCGACATTCAGAGCATATTGCCACCGAGCCCACATCCCACAAGTTTTGGCTGTGACCATATTCATCATGACATTATATCAGTTTCCATTCACTTTCCATAGCAGGATAGAGCTTATTTGAACATATATGGTGGTGGATATTACATGCGCTTTCATGTTGATTTGTGTTGGTGAACACATTTTTAAAAATATTGAATAATAATTATTCAATTATTCATTATTCATGGTAAACGACTATTTAAATATTCAGAATTCAGAATCATGTTAGTTTCATTGCAGACTAACTGTTATACAAGATAGCTGTATAAATGCATATAAATGTGGATATTCTTTTCTAATTTTCATTTCAAAAAACACTCATTCAAACACAGGGACTTTAATATTCATGTTGTTTTGTCTGATGATTCAGCTCTAACCCAGATTTTACCCAAGAAGGGTCAACCCTATAAAAAACGATGTGAAGACGATCGTCAAAATGGCGATGAACTGAAAATTTGGTATAAGCTGGCACCCGCATATACGAGCCACTGTGGCCTACACCACTAAGCTACACGAATGAGAAAATGGAATACGGACGTACGAACTGAGAACGAGTACATTACCCGGGGAAACCATGAACTCGATACTCGTGTTTTTCAGACGTTCCGGAGGACCCTCCTTTTAGTGTCCAACTACTAGTAGACTATGAAGAGCCTCGTCTCGAAATATATTACTGGGAACTAGTACACTAGGGTTAGGGTGATTCACGAATCGCAAATCATAATTCATAACGGTTGGGAATACGTGAGAGTGAGAGATTAAGCACAAGGTTTTGTATGACGTTTGAAGAAGTGATAGCAAAAATAATTAATTATTATTAAAAAATAAATTTACAATAGGGACTTAAAGAAGTGTGTGGGCAACTTGGCTGTGTTAGTAAATTAGGCACCTGCGTGATAAAAAAAAAAATGCACACATAAGCAATGAATCATCAAATTAAGGATGACTTGTCAGAGTTTATTAAATGTACTAGTATGTAAATGTATAGGATGTTTGTGACTGGTTGATAATTAGGATTTTTAATTAATTTGTTGTAGCCTGAAGGAGTGCCAGTGTCAAGTACACAATCGGCCATGATAGAACTGATTACTACAGACCAAACTGAGGAAATCTTCACCATATCTTTACCTCCTGTTGGTGTAGTAGAAGGATCCGTCAGAGCTGAACTTTTAGTTACAGGTATGTGATACTAAAATAATACACTCCCTCACACATGGCTTTTGTTGCATATGGAAGTTATTTTCACGAGTGAAGCGGTGTATCCCTTGGACGTACTGTCACCAGTGAAGCGAGTGAAAATACAGCAGAATACACCGCATCTCAAGTGAAAATAACTTTTATATGGAACGAAAGCCACAGGGAGGTTTTAGGGTTCTGTTATTATTACATATGTTCCATATTGATTATTTTATATTAAAGAAGAACGTGCAACAAACCAGGATGGAATTTAGGCCGGGGAACCCCATTGCCCATTAATATGTTCCAAGATAGTGTCACGCCCTAGCAGCGCGTGTCAATGTAGGACAAGTGTCGCTGTCTGTGTGAAAATAAAATAATCAAACCTCTAATCTGAGTCACTGTCCGAATAAATAACTTGTGGACATTTAGTTAAGGCCACGACAGAACCAGAACTTGAACTGGATGACTATGAAACACAGTTTATGTTGAAGTAAAAAGTTGCTCCACAGAATTGTGCATTGAGAAACATGCCATGCAACTGCGGTACTCCACTGACGGGATGACTTTTGTTGACAACGGTCGTCACTGAGCTGCACGCTACAACTTCATTTGCGATGTTGCTTGCTGGTTGTGGATTGAATGAGTCTTGGTTACCAGTTAAAATGTTGCTCATTTGGCGAGTAACTGAGTAACGCCGCAATATCGCCAGCAGAAACCTCCTTGTATCTCAATGTTGATGGTTGCGGCTCCATAGTAATCGCTGATTTTTCTGCGCGTGGATCTTCCAAGAGCCCTTCAAGGTTTATAAAACTCAGTTTCCAGCTTGTCAACATACATAAAGTTCTCCTAATTGTATTATTCCATGTGCTGTACACCTATTGAACGATTTGAACCGGATAAAAGTAGCAGACGAAAATGTGTTTACAAAATAAAAATAGTTCGGTAGCCACTGGAAATACCATGTTCATTTGCATATTGACCGTGAAAATTAGTTAGTCAAAATAAGTGACTGCCTAAAAGTACCATTACTGTTCATGTACCCCAAGGGAAAAATATTGTTCTTCAAAAGATTGTTTATTGCTACTATGTTTCGAAAACCAGTACTCCTGAAGGGACTACTTTTTTTGCTCTCAGACCTCATTTTCATATGGGGTGTGGAAATACTGATTTTGATTTCAGGGACAAATCAAAATAAACATATGTAATAATTTTACATATGTAATAATTTTAGTTATGTCAGAATAAAATAACAACCACCAAGAACTTCATATTTTTAGTTCCCGTTTGGATGCAGTTCGAAAACGAGGACTTATGTTTTGACCTTCGTGTGTGCGTGCGAGCGTCCGGACCTGTATCTTAGAAATGCCTGGACCAATCACAATCAAACTTCACACATATATCATACATGATATTATACATATGCACATCAATTTGTTTCACGATATGATTCAAGATGGCCTAATGGCGGCCATTTTTGTGCTCAAAATCATCAAAATCAAGCATTTTTCGGCTGTTTACAGATGGATTTTGTTCAAACTTGGTATATACATTAGACATTATAGGACCTTGATGCACATCATTTTGTTTTTAAGATAAGATACAAAATGGCCGACTGGTGACCATTTTGGTTTTAATGATTGGGTTTCTAGAGCCATATGCTTTGACTGATTATATTCAAATTTTTATATATTCGTTATACATCATGTTATATATATATACACATGTATTCAAAATGGCTGATTTTGAATGCTGTTCCAGAGCAATATCTCTCAATATGGACAAGTACTTTTTTGACGATCAGATACAAATGTCAATCATTTTAATGTTAAAAAAATCATATTCCTGACATGGTTATATTTCAGCTATATTACTATAAACAAAACTATATATCTTAAATTTGATAACTAACGGGGACTGTGCCATGCATGGCTTGTTTTGAATTAACTCTGTCATTTACACTTTTTTTTTTCTTGTCGAAACAGAATTCTGCAATTTTGATGTTAGTAATGACTTCACTTAACATTCTCACAAATAGTATCTCAGCATTCTGTATTTGGTAATTTGGTATTGGACAGATTTTTTTTTCTTTTTTTGTCTACACGATGTTTTCCATCATTAAACATTTGTTGTGGCCTCAAATTTTCTAGTTCTAACCTTATAATGTTTTAATTTTAACTTTCTAATTTTTGCCTTTCAGCTTTCAAATTGAGTCATTTTTTTTTACAGAAATTAGTATAAATCATTTGGATTAGATCACATGTAGATTGAAACAATGCAACTGTCCCCCCTCATTTACTTATAATAATTTTATTTGTTGTCGTTTTCAGGTGATCTGTTAGGAGTAGCTATGAATAACTTGGAACAGTTACTACGAATGCCGACTGGATGTGGTGAACAGAACATGATTGGATTTGCACCAGACGTGTTCATATATAAATACTTGGTGAATACCAATCAGGACAATAATGAAATTAAACAGAAAGCGCTTAATTTTATGACACAAGGTTAGACACTGATTTTGTTAATTTGTTACGTAACTATGACATGATTGTAAGTTAATGTGAGCATTTGATGACTCTTAAGGGTAATGTAGGATGCAGGTTTCTGATAAAGTAACGAGTCAATGTTGTTATGTGATACTCTCGTACTTTATAATTATGTATCAATATGATGGATAGAAACTCAAAACCATGAGTTGATGAAGTGGTTTTATATCTTTCTCTTTATGGTAGGATTAACGCATTGATCTGTAAATTTCAGTCAATTAAAAAAACAACACATTCATCTAGCTTTGAGTTGCGCATCTTGTTCACAATGTGTTGGTGTTACATTGTATTCTATCTCTGGAATCCTAAACAAACAACTGCTTAATGAACTTTATATTATTATTATCGGTGATCCCTGGGAAGTGGGGGTGGGGGGGCTTCTACTATATCATCTACTTTATAGGGAGCATAAGAATAGGGTGACTATATATAACTGTAGGTCATGTGACAGTGGTCACATGAGACAGTCACGTTCTGGATTTTCATTTGAGTGATTCGATATATACGCAAGTAATTTTTTAAAAACAACCACAACCATGTAATTTGTTATGTATCTATAGCTTATTAAAAATAATATCTGTGTGAAGATGCCATCCATAAATATATTCTCTTATCAAAATTTATATTATTTTGAAGTATACTTATAGCGATAAATACAACTAAAGTATACATACTTTAAAGAGCGGTGGTCGTCGTGCCGCGTCCTGTTCGATATGGGACTCATAGCGACGTATACAACGCGTGTAAAATACATTGTTTATTTACATGAAATTCGAACACGCGCTGCGCGACGACCACCAAGTATACTTGCTGCATCATGTGAAATATTCTTTACGTACATTGAATTTGAAATATTGAAGTATATTTTAAGTACTGTGGAATACTTTATTTTCGCTGGAATTAATTTTCGCTGAAAAGGCTTTTTGGGCATTCTTTATGGAATTTATTTTCACTGACTTTTTTGATGAGTTGAATGTGAAATATAGGAAAAAATAAAGTATATTCGCTGGATTTTATTTTCACGGAATCATCCCTTCAGCGAAAATAGCAAAAATAAATTCCAAGCGAAAATAAAGTATTCTACAGTATACTTACACCAATGAGTTTTGAAAAGGATTCTAATAGGCAATTATTATCTTACAACCAATTGATGAGAAGATATTGATTGAAACGTTGGGGTATTTTGGAGGTAAAGGTTTCATCTCCATCTCGTATATTTTGGCAGGTTACCAGCGTGAGCTTAACTACAAACACGAAGATGGCTCCTTCAGTGCTTTTGGTGCTCGTGATGACTCTGGCAGTAATTGGCTGACTGCATTTGTTGTCAAATCTTTCGTGCAAGCAATGGATTTCGTGTTTATCGATCCTAAGATTATTATTGATGCCTCTAGTTGGTTGGTGGATACACAAAGCAACGATGGTTCGTTCCCTGAAGTCGGTAAAGTGGTGGATGGAGCCATGATTCAGGTTTGTGCATATCTGGCATTTTACTTAATTCTTAATATTTGTGGTCGTATTGTTCAGTTTTTGTTTGTATTAAATGTACCGGCATGTGCATTTTTGTTTGAGCCAGCAAATCTTTCCATACATCAATTTCATACTCATATGACATTGCATTTCCCCGTTTTATAAATTCTTATTTGTGTAAGATATGTAACATCTTCACCAGTCAAGATTCATTTATTCAGCTCGCTATTATACCTTGGCAGAATTCCCACTGTAAACCTGTAATCACCGCCAACGAAATAAACAATGGCATGCTCTATAATGTGTTTTCATAGTAAATGAAACACAAAGTTGTGTTGTGATGTGTTTCCTTTGGAAATCAAACACAAAGTTGTGTTGTGATGTGTTTCCTTTGGAAATCAAACACAAAGTTGTGTTGTGATGTGTTTCCTTTGGAAATCAAACACAAAGTTGTGTTGTGATGTGTTTCCTTTGGAAATCAAACACAAAGTTGTGTTGTGATGTGTTTT